ATATTATATTGTAATTTTGAATTGTGAATGGGACGAAATGGTCCTTAAAAATTTGCATAACTGATGTTATGGCGTTGTGGAAAATTCAAAGTAAAATGGAGATCCCTATTAACACAATGCATTGTTAAATTTCACCTTTTGAAGTTGAAGTGCATTAGCAACGTTGGTTATCAATTCAAATTGTGTAGGTAAATCACTGAACTTAGCCTGCGAAGAGGGCGGGGATGAGCCAGCAGGCAAGTTTGAACTTTCAACCGATCTAATTTTATCATGTGAAATAACTCAACAAATTTATTTATTTTTAACTATTTATGCATATGAAATCACAGTAATATATTAAATTGATTATTTATTTTTTGCACCATAAAGTAAAAAGAAAGGAAGAGGGTGCGTTTAAAGTGCATACGGCACTTATTTCTTGGATTATGGTAACGCTCTTTGTAGCTGTAGTGGCATATCCACCACTGTTTTCCTTTGGAATTTTTTGCTACAGTTTCTTCTCCGGTGGTTATGGTCTTGTGTTGGCGGCGTTGCTGATTGGTTATGGGTGTTGCATTTCTCATTTCCTTGTTTTACGTTGTTTTATATTTTTTATTGTTGTTTTTGTTTGAACTCGTCTGGGTGAGGAGCTTGGTTCTAGACTCAGCTTTGAGGTCTAACTGCTCCTACCTAATTTTTTATGTCTTACTTTTTAGCTTTTGGCTTTGTTTGTAATCTGTTTCCTCTAGGTTTATTTAATGACATCAGAATTCGACCAAATAAAATTGTAATAGAATATATAGAATAATGGCATACCTCTTTATTCCACCTGAGTTGGGTATTAATTGGCCTTTTATAAGCATTCGAGTTGATCATGTATGCCTTGCCACATGACATGAAATGAAACATGTTCGTGTTTGTTCATGCCCATATATATGTTTTGCATTGGTATGCCTTAGCTTTCAAGTCCCGCTAATCGCATATTCTCATTCATCTGTGATCGTATAAAAATATGATATGCCTAGCATTGCTCTTTTTACTTTCACACTCATAATTTTTTTTTTTTAAATTAACAATATAGATGTGATTTGAATTCTGAAAAAAAATATCACTAAATCAATAGTCACCAATAAATATATGCAAAAGAATAGAGAAAAAAAGTTGGTCTATTTACTCAAAATGAAGATTCGAAGTTCCCAACTTATATCATGGCTGACTTGGCACAACCTTATTGGTGAACTTCACGTAATAAGCACAATCCCACTCTCGACATGGTTTTATTATAAAGAAAAGAGCAGAGCAGAGCAGAGAGAGAGACACGCACAGAGACACAGAGAGGAGAGGCAGATCAGACTTTATAAATGGCCGAAGAACCCAAAACGTGGTCGTCCAGCTCGCAACCTTCTTCTACATCTAAACCGCCCGAAGAAATTCTCCAGAAACCTCAGGTTCTCATTTCCCAATCCGAGTTTCCTAATGTTACAAACAATTTTCAATCCTAGGGTTACTTATGTTTCCATAAAAAGAAAAGGCATACAAATTGGTGTCTTTGAGCTTCAATTCAATATCGGCCTTTGATTTCTTAGCATGTTGCAAATTTGCAATTCTCTTACATGAATTGTTTGCTAATTACGTTGTTTATTCGGTGTATATAGAAACACGAAGAGCTTGTGTAGTGTTCTTGTGCTTATGTATCGAAATCGCTGCATAGGTCTTCAAGGATTGAGAAAAATTGGGTTCCCAAATAGGGATCTTATTGGGAATTTTTCATTTTTTATTTTTTTGGGGCCAAATGTTGACAAATTGCTTGAATTTGCATTTCTTTGGGTAGTTAGGACATTACAAAAGTATGGTTCTTGGGGACGGGTGGGGGTATGTTTAATATATAAAATTCTGGGTTCTAATCTAATTATGAAAACATTAGAGTATTCCATCGTTTTTTCGTTCATTTGTTATGTGCTAAATACAAGAATTTTACAACTCGTGCATGTCAAAGTTGGCTCGTATCTACTTTCATTTTAACCTTATTTTCTGGCTTGCATGAACAATGGAGCTCTGATTCTTTGAAGAGAAAAAAGTGTCCTTTCCTTTTGTTGTTCAGTAGTTACACGTAGGCTCGAGAGAAATGGCACAAAATTTATTCTTTATTTTTCGGAACATTAAACCATTGAATTTCAGAAGTTCTTTATATCAAAAGCTAATATAGTATTTTTTTAAATGGAGTGATGGTGGAACGATGATCCACATTTCCTGATAGCATCATTTGTTTGCAGTTGAAAGCCTAGTATGGAGCATAATTCATAGTTAAGTGGAAGCATAAACAAGTGTATAAACATGTAGTAAGGCAACTATAATTTGTACTGCTATAAAAAAGAAAACATCATGATGAGAATATCACTACCACTAAAATTTATTTTGTATTCCGTATCAATAGTATGGTTAATGGATGTAGGGCCACCATTTATCTAGATGACAGGGTTTGTTTAAGCTGCCATCTCATCCTTTTGCCTCCTTTTTATTTGAAAAGAATGCTTTCCTCACCTTATTGAAGCTATAACTTTCTCTTTGTAGTATCAGATACTATTAAAAACATACTGTTTCTTTTTATCAATAGGGGTGGAAATGCATAGGCAGTAATAATGTGTAAAGAGAGGACAGAGTAGCGAGCATGTTTTCTACATTTTCCTACTGGTTATGCCTGTGCTGTGGAAGAGTTTGTGCCACTACTTCATATAAAATTGTTTTTTGAGAAAAGAAAGTAATGCAGACTAAAGCTTGTGAATGTTTTAATCGTAGTTTAAAGCAATACTATGTGCATATCTTGCATTAATTTGGTGGTTCTGGTTCCTTTTCTAATTCACTTTATGACTTCTTTTTCAGGTTCCAGCACTCTCTGGGCTTCCATCTTTCCCAAATGGTGATTTTCAGATGTTACCAATCATGTACCCACTTCTTGTTCCTGGGTTAAATCCTTTACAAGATCAGGAGCAGATGAACCATGGAGCAGGCATATATGCCGTTCCTGTTCACCCATTTATGGGGCCAGTTACAGGAGTTTCATCTAACACTCTGATTCCGCTTACCTACAACATACCCACGTAAGTATGTCAATGGTGCTCTTAAGTTTCTTCCATTGTGACATAATTTCCTTATCTGAAATTGTTTATTCTTAACAATCGTAATCATCGTTAAGCATGAATGTATTGATGCCACAGAACTAGAGCAAGTCCAGAGGTTGGCACTGTAGGTGAGCAGCAAGGCCAAGAGGGAGAACAACAACAACAGCAGCAACGTCAACAGCAACAGCCTGCACATCAGAGACAAGTGGTTGTGAGGAGATTTCAAATTGCATTTCAGCTTGATGTGTTGCTTATTGTGAAGCTTGCAGCTGTAATATTTCTATTCAATCAAGAAGGGTCTAGACAAAGGCTTGTTGTCCTTGTGATTGTCGCTTCAATTGTCTACTTGTAAGTAACTAAACTTTGTACCATTTTCAATATCAGGACAATGCTGGTGTTTCATTATCAATGCAAGATATGATGAATTTGGTGATTTTTTTATAAAGAAAAGTAAAGTTAGGTTCTTCAGTAGTCGACTTTAATTTTACCAAATTAATATATGTGAAGTTTCACAAATGAAAGCTGGATTTTGATGATGTTAGATATTGCAGATATCAAACTGGCTCGCTCACACCATTAGTACGATGGCTCTCTCAAGGCATGCATAGGGCAGCTGTGCCTCCTCATCCCCCAAGGCCTGTAGCCAGGGCCGGAAATGTTCCTCCTGCTGCAAGGCAGGGGGTTGACAATGCTGCTTTGGCAGGTAATTTTGTTTGTTACTGTCTGTACGTGCTGAGTGTCACGTCTTTTGGAAAAGAAAAAAAAAATCAAGTATTCCAGTTCACATCTAGTTTCATTTATCTAAGACTGCTATCGGAACATTGGTTGCAAAATTCTTGTAGGGACTATTGTCATTAGGTGATTTGTACATGTTTGATAATATTGATTGTTGCTGTCTGCACTACTTGAAATAGAACTCTTTTGGTGAGATATGCTGGAGTTTTCCCTAGGAGAGGTGTAAAAAAGAACTATAGTGTAGTGCGGTCTGTGTAACATAATTGGTGGACACATTGCTAGAGTAAAAGGCCTCGGGAGGATTGTGTATTTCTTGTTACTGAATGCCAATGGACCATGTCATGCTCCACTGTTCATTTATGACAAATGATTTTCTTCTCTACTAACAGTTAAAAATATGTGGCAGACGGACAGCCGGGAGCCGAGAATGAGAATCGGCCTGCAGATGATGGAAATGAGACGGTTGAAAATGAGAATGTGCCAGCACCTGATGGAGCCAATGGTGGTAACCGCTGGTGGGGAATTGTTAAAGAGATTCAGATGATCGTTTTCGGCTTCATCACTTCACTTCTCCCAGGTTTTCATAATATAGAGTAGTAGATCATATGCGGCGAAGGAGTAGTCTGTTGAACAAACTGTGAAGCTGGCAACTCTTCTTATATATATATTAAAGAAAGTAGATGTATTTGTAACAGATACTGTAATTTTCCTTCTCTTATTGGTGGGAGTGCTTTTCAGTTCTCCTTCCAAACTTGTATGAATTACGTCTGCAGTTGCTTAATCTTTCAGCCGCCTTCCGGTGCTCTTGTATTTTCTTTGTACATTGATTTTACTAATTCCGCACCTTCCATTTCGTGGTTATTAAAATTATTGGGAATATGTCAACCTTAAACACAACCAAATGAATTCCAAAGCTAAATATTCTTCCAGTCCTCTCCTCCATTTTGCATCCCAAAATAGGCTTTTCATACTAGCGAAATCAGAAAAAATCGATCTGCTACGAAATTAAATGAGGGAAAACAAAAATACAGAGAAGCTGCAAATAGATGTTCTTATTGATTAAATGTGAGAATTCCACCACTATTATTCCACAACCATGCTCAAAGACAGTTTAATTCTGCTATCTTTGGCAAGCTCTTGTTACCAACTTCTCCACAGTTCAACTCGCAATTTCTTGCATAAATTTTTCCCGGATTCAGCATTTCCTCTAGGTTTTCTGAGGATGGAGTAAAGCGACAGGTTTGCTTCTTTTCGTTATCCTTTTTCTTTGGCTTTGCCACAAAATTCCTTTAATTTTGTGAAATATAATCACTCCACTAACCCATATGTCTCTGATGAGAAGCCATGTGTGTAGCCAAAATTCACTGAAATTACACTCCTTATAATAGATTTAAATTCATAAGATTATTACAGAAACTCATATTTACACATCTGTCTCTCCCACTGCCGAAACTCAGGTTACCAAATGAGAAAAAATGTGGATAAAACTAGATTTATTTTGGCACTAAATGAATAGATTAATTACAAAATGTATATACAGGTATCTATAAATAATGCACACCTCACATTTCTGACAAAAGATTGCTGATCTTCCGAAGCTCCTTCAAAGCTGTCACGGCTGTAACTTGTCCTTTGCCAACTAAAGTGTTTTTTGAAAAATTCTCCAATGGCCCAACCTGAACACCCCGATCTTGCTGGAAAACAGACTCGATTACCTGCCAGATATGGTTAGTTAAAGAGTCAGAACAATGTTGACATAAAATCTGACATGCTTAAGAAGTGTTGTTGGGAGCAAATTTTTTTGCCCCCTAAAACTGCACACGGAACCAACTTAAAAGAAACACCATGCTTACAAGGAATTTTGTACCCAGTTATAGCTATCAATTCATGGTTATTGCCCCTAGCCAATACCGCACTACTCGTTGGATTTCTTCCTCTTTAACAATCATTACACATTTCCTAGAACATATAATTTTATAGTGCTCTGCATCCTATAAGAAGCATTAACTTTGACGATAAAAAACAAATTGTAGTTTATACTCTTGTGAGAAAGCAAAACAAGAAACGTTACCTGAATATGTTCAAGCATAGAGTGCCCAAGATTTCTTAGAGTACCCATCACATTCTGGTCAACAGCTTCTCCTTTGGAGCTAACTAAATAATTGCAGGACCCCTCAGCCACGGAAGAGCTTGTTGTGTCCTGATTACCTTCACAACTGGAAGATTTTGTAGCCTCAAGGGCGTTGTGTCCTTTCTCAGATGTCCCTTCACCAGGTGCATTCCATCCAAACTTCCAAAACCTCGGGAATTTACCAGAAAGAAGCTTTCGTTCCTTTCCTGTCACTGAATTTCCCGTTGAATGATTGTTGCATTCAGATGTTTGAGAGACACCTTTGGAAGGATCAGAAACCAGAAGAGGTGGGTCTTCCGATACATCCCGTGAATTATCATAATTTTCATCAACTGACAAATTTGATCCAACACTACTTTTCTCTGATTCTGGTTCATGATCATTAGCCCCACTACGAGGACTTGTTAGGTCTGAGAAAACAGATGAATTTTCTTCACTAGCTGGATTTTCATTCAAACATCTGTTCTCAGTGGCAGAAGTAGGGTCCTTACTGAAACCATCTTCTTTGTTGACCTCAACTTCTGAAGAGAGTTCGTCTTCGTGAGAACCCAATTTCTCACCATCTTCCTCTGAGCTAAGTTCTCGAGAAAGGTCTTGCAGCAACCTTCGTCGAACAGAAAACCTGGGGTTCTTTTTGCCATTCTCAGGTTTTGATGGAGATGGGTCGGATTCTGTTCTAGATAGGCTCAATTTTACTTTTTCTGTCCATCGCTTTTTCTGGCTTGGAACCTGTTTTTCCAAACCATCTTGCCTAAGTTCTTCCTCCCTGTGCAGAACTCTCCATTTCTCTTCCCAGTAGCTTTCAGGTACCAGATTTAGTGGTGTTTTTGGAGAAAAAGAATCAACTGAGAGGCTATGACCTCTCACAGCCATTGATTTACTATGTTCATAGGGCCCAATGTATGAAAATAATAAGGATGAACTATTGTTCTTCAAAGCAAGATCCTGCAAAGACTTCGCCTTTTGTATCAGCTTCTTCAAATCTATTTTCTCAGGAAAATTTAACAATCTCTGAAGACATAACGTAGCATTTTCGGAGGCAAGAAGGGAAGATCTCAAATAGAGTAACATTGAAACTGCCATGGCTGATATAAATGCTCCTCGAGGTGTACTAAGTATGCCAAAGCTGGATGCTGCGTCATCTTCAGAACCTTTGTCTAATTTACTATTATCAGATGCAAATATTTCATCCCAAATTATCAATAGATCTGCAAGTGAAAACTCACGTCCAAATAAAACCCGTAACCAGCGGAGAGCAAAATACTGGGGTTCAACACCAAGCTCAACAAGGTGGCTGTGTAGAGATGAATCAACAAGAGAAAGCAAATAATACAACGAAGCAGATGCTTCAATGACAGGAGGTAAGCTAGTATGGGATCCAACAGCAGGGGAGGGAGAGAAGAACTCTGCCATAGAAACTGAACCATGGGCCCCACTCATTAGAGCATCAAACATACAGTACGCATCATGTTCCATAAATTTCTCGGACAAGATAATACCCAATTCACCTTCAGCACCATAAGCATCACTAAGCATAACAATGGTCTGTATCTCAGGATCAAGCTCATCAAGACTCTTAAGTTTAAATGCATTTCCGTATGAGCCATTCTCATTTTCCATGGAATCAGGAGAGTTTTTGAACTCAAAATTATAAGTGAGATCATTTTCATGAAATGATAGACCATCAAATTTATCAGTGAAGTGATCTTCATATAGATTTCGCACTTGAGATAGATGCTCCACATCAAAATGAAGAACATATAATAGAGGAGCCAAGAGTTCATGCATTCCTACAATGAAAAACAAAGAGAAAAAACAATTAAACTTCTAGAACGAAAAAAGCTGCTTCCTTGGATCATGTGTGTGAATGTACCTTTCTAGAAAACATTCAATAACTAAGGGATCATTTGTTTTTTTGTTTTTTGTTTCTTTTTTATTAAGGAAAGAGGGGGTGACAGAGATGAGAGAGAGAGAGAGAGAGAAGAGAAATAATTCATTGAATTGTTTTTTAAATAAAATATAAAAACTGAAAGCAATGGTTTTAAATTTTCTTTTAATGCAATCTATTCTGCATCTTCATTTCTTCACTTCTCTTCTTTCACTTTCTCACCTCCATCTCCCTTACTTCTCTTCAATTAAACAAAAAAAAAAAAAAATATTTACCAAGCAGGCACTAAGATTAGCAACTTGTTGATCACATTGGGCAAGAAAGTTAAATATCCCAGCACGTCAGGGTCAAAGAAATTGAATAATAATATCAAATATGGTTTACTTGCTGCCACAGAAGTCAAAACTCAAGAGAAGAAATGACTGGCTAACTACCTGATAATCAAGAATCTTTCCTTATAAATCATTCTGAAAAATTTTAAAATGAATAAACCTCTGTATTAGTCATTTTGGGGAGACCAGTAGTGTTTGATTTTTGTAATCAGAATATGGTCCAATAATAACTAAATTATGCATTACAACATGAGATTGCAGGATCCATGTAATTCAAGTCTGTATACCAAGAAAGCAGGTTGTACCCTGATGTAAGCAACGTAGGGCAGGACCTTGTGTAGTGCTTACTACTACGAGCACACACTCACACGCACAAGCACACAGCGAGACAGTGTGTTCTAAACGCCAAGCTTAGTCACTTAGAGAAGAAAGACAATTTAAATCTCTTCTCCAAAAAGTACATTGGAAAAAGAAAATTGATGTGAGTACTGTCATGTACCTTGTCTGTAACCACACTCTGGATGTCTAAGACACCACAATAACAAAATTCTTCTCAACATTCCTTGGCATCCTGGTGTTTGGAAGTAGCTCCCATGTTCTGGGTATAAACGTGATAAGTCCTGGTCAACCATTTTCTCCAGCTCAGCATTTCGAAAGAAACGACCCCATGTGCTATCTGCATGTAAGATGTACGGCATAGATTAGTAACCGCATCACTCAATGAGTAGGTAACCTCACTTAGGCACATATTGCAACAGTAAAATCTCCATTTAACTTTCCATTCTTATATTTAAAGGTCAACTTGAATTTATTACCAATGAGGAACTATCGTGCCACCCACAGATTTGATTGGGTGTTATAACAATACAGTCTGAGACTGTTATTCATTAGTAGTTTTAGATTGTAGCATACAGGAAAATCCCTAAACACATTTGACACATCTACAAGGGAAAGCTTTTTTCCTTTAGAAAGTACAGTTTACTTTCATTGAAAAATATGCAATAATGAGGCAAACCATGGTGCAAGCCTCCAAATTTGATCACTTCAACAAAGCAGCTACATAATGAAAGCTAATAATGAATAAGTGAAAAAACACAGCAGACAAAAAAACATAGGAAAGCCAAGCTCAAGAAAATTTTAGGATTGAGCGTGCATTAGCAAAATAGCTGGTTAACATGCTCGCCCATGTTCTTCCGGAGCTTCTACAGTTCACATATGCACTTTGGAGGATCCATAGATTTTACCTGGGTTTTGTGACAGCGGATTGTCTATGGAAAGATCAGGGGAACTACTCCCATCCTTTTTGGGATGTGGATCAACCAGAAGGCGCCTTCTCAGTCCAGCATATCTAATAATGTAGACAAGGTAAACTCAGCACAAGATTACACAAACTTAAAAATTACCACCAAATCATTGCAGTCTAATATGATAATGAAAAAAAAATTTAGACTTGTTTAAATTCAGCGCTCTTAACTTCATAATTCAGAGTCAAATCAATCGACACAACTAATCAACTGCATGTACCCAATACAAGCACAAAATTCAAGAAGCCACTTCTTGATTCATAAAGATATAAGAAACATAATTTCAAGTCGCTTGACACACCTCTTGCTTTATCAAGATATAAGTAACACGCCTGTTTCCAGAACAATTTACAGCTGATAACCAACAAAATGTAGAAAATCCATTGACCATTAACTAAACCACGGAAACCGTATCTTATAAACCCTCGTATGAGTTCAAAAATGAAAACAAAAACAAAAACAAAGAACAAAAAATATATAAATTCAAAAAGGGAAATCGTCAAGGAAATAGAATTATCTAGCAAAACCCATGCATAAAATTATCAACTCAGAGCAAAAGCTTAAAACAAAAACCAAATAGATCACCAAATTGAGACTTTACTGTTCAAACCAAAAAAGAACGAAACACAAGAATCCTAATGCAACCTTCTACGCATAAAAAGTTGAAGAAATCATAAAGAGACATGTTAGAGGTACCTCCTTCTAGAATCAGCTGTGACCCGACGAAGATCATCAATGGAAGAAGAAGAAGAAGAGGGCAAAATCCCAAGATTTATGCGCCATTGCACACTTCTAAGGTCTTTGAAACGACGATTCTCAGCTTCAGATCTCTCAGGAACATAGGGGGAGCTCGCAGACGACGATTCGGGCAATGTCGACTCAATTGGAGCTGGCGCCATGGCTTTCTCGCAATTCTCCAAAGACCCAATTGTCAATTATGCTGAAAGGGAAGAAAAAAAGGTAAGATGGTGCAAAAAAGGTACAAACTTTGGCACGGTTTCTGCAAAAATTGTGAGCAGAAACAGAGGTTAAGAGCATGAACCCAATTAGGATTTTGTCTCAGCCAACAGAAAAATATGAGAGCATGAAATTTGGTAAAGGAAAGAAAGGAGAAATTGGAAAATTGGATAACATAAAGCAAAGAGAAGAGAAGGGAAGAGAAGAGAGAAGGTGTGGTGGAAAAAATGGCAGAAGTTGTGGAGGAGAGGACTTACGTTTGAGTTTGGGAGATGAGGAGGAGGAGGATCAGACTCTTCAAAGGAAAAAGAAACAATTTTTTAGCATTATTTTTATTTTTTTCACATTCATTCCTTCGATTCACCAACCTGCTTTGGAGAGAGAGAATAACAAGTTTGTTTGTTCAGAGAGAGAAGAAAAGGCAAAAGAAAATGGTGATAGAGAAAGAGAGAAGTGCTGGTTTGACCTCTTTCAATGTTAGGAAGGTGCCGTGGGTTGTCATCTACTTCTCTTCTTCTATTATTGAAAACAAACAACGGACAACAAAATTATTTTTTATTTTTTACAAAAAGTGAAATTCCAACTTGAAATTTTTAGTTTTTTTCTGTCAAATTCCAACTTGAAATTCCTTCTAGCAAAGTTGGAAAAAAAATTTAGACCTTAATTTTTCTCTCATTTTCACAACCGACTCTTTAATTTTTTATTCTATATTTGGTATTTACAATTTTTTATTTCTTTATATTTATTTCTATTATTTTTGGTAAATACACTCAATAGTACTTCACTATTTCTTATTATATCTCTTACATAGTATTTGGTTATTCTGTTACAATCATTTGTTGTTGAATGATTGAAATGGGAAAAATTCAGTGTTGGTAACTTGGTACAAGCTAGACAATTCCATTCTTCTTCTTTTTTTTTTTAATCTTGTTTCATTCAATATAATTTTGAAAAAAAATAGAAATTTTATTAGATAAGTTCCAATAATACAACTAAGACTTCTCTTATATAAATTTAAAACGAAAACTTCTACGATACGTAAAATGCACCAATCTAAAAAAGGCAACAAAATCAATAAACTCAAAAAGACAAAATTGAAGCGAATAAATGCCGCACGCACACACTAAAACTAGGCATTATTCCAAGTTAAGCCCACAAAACACAAAATACACATAAACTCAAATGAGCACCACCGTCATCACATGAAGCAAGCAATGACGCGGTCAAGCCTTACCACGTCTAGTGTTGAAAAAAATGTATGAAACATATTTGGATAAAACTTAATCTTATAACAATTCAACTACACATAATAGAGCAGAGTTCCCAACAAGGATGAGTACATAAGAGGGATAAATGACTACATGTAGATGTATGTCGTGGTAAATACTTTGCAATTTCCATGAAAAATGATGGGATTGGATCAAACAAGTTGTAGGTCCTCGTCTCTCATAAAATAAAATATTTATGATTAAAAAAGTAGGTCCTCATCACCTTCAAAAAAATCATAAAACTTAGCGACAAAAGAAAAATAATATAAAAAAAAACTTGTAACAAGTTGAAGGAACTATAAAGAAACGCGTGTATGTTCCCCATTATTATGGACGAAGCTAGAACCGGCTTCGGAGGATTTGTTAGAAAGTTAGGTGCTGTAATTTGTTAGATTACACTGATACATGTAAGAAAATAAACCCCATCTACCCAAAAAAATCAACAAATCAAAAGCCAGAAACCTAATAAAAATATGTCAGAGAGGAGGGTGGTCGATGATTTGTGACTGGCTGCAGGCGTATAGGTGGAGAGAAACTCTCATGTAATGGGAAAAGCTTTTTTTTTTTTTTTTCTCGACCAATAACACAATGATATATATGATAACTTTTTTACGTGTCATTATATTATTTGTTAATAATGGCAAAACAATACTATCCACACTACATGTAAGGTTTTTTTGGCCTGGGTGGGGAGGCACAATGGCTATACTCACCAACAAAAGAAAAGCACGATCTCCCTTTTGTTGTCAGACAAAAAAACAAGCAGAGGAGGAGGGTTTTATTTTGTCCCCCACCTTTCCCGTGGGCGTAAATAAGAACTTCTAAGGAGGTGCGTTTGGTGGGGCTAATATTAGTAATCCCCACTTAAAATAAAAAGGAGGTAAAAGAAACCTACTAATCAATCGTTTGACTAATGAATAGACTTACTTATAGGGTTTAATGTATGAGTTTGTAAATTCTTACGAGATTGGATACCAATTTAAAATAACCCAAAAAACTTAAAAAAATTCATATAATTAACGGGGTCGGTCTCCTGAAAATCATGTGCGAAACTTAAAATAGAATCATAACATTATCTAACATAAAAATACCAAAAAACAAAAACACCGTTAATTTATGCCATAAAACAATAAACAATGAGCACTACTACTTTTCATGAAGATATGCTTAGTTTAATGATAAGGCGTACAATGATGTGTCACTGATTGCGGGTTCAATGTTCCTTGAGTCGGTGGCACCACCACCCCAAGCCCGGCCTTGACGTAACAAAATTTTACCCCTGGTAAGAAAAAGAAGGGTGTTAATGAAAAAAAAAAAAAGCTGGCACCATCGAAATCGAAAGCGAAAACAAACAAAAGAGCGGAAATAAGAATAACGTTGGGGAATAAAATTAGAATACGCAAACATGTAAGGGCAGGATTGAAAATTCAAGTTCAACTACTAAATATTCTGGGCATGTCCAGAACTGACGTGGCGTGGATGAGCAATCATGATATTTACATCTGAAAGTAACATGTTTTTCTTTTTCTTTTTCTTTACATGAATAAGGCACGTTTTTTTATATTAATCCCCACTAACCTATAATTTAAGGGCCCACACAAGTTAGACTTGGTCAAAGTAAAATACATATAAAAGACTGATAGCTCAGCCTCAACCGCAGCCTTTCGATATATTTATTTATTTTATATTTTTTGGTAGGAGCCTCTTGTTTTCTTTTTATTTATTTATTTATTTATTTATTTTATAATACCCCATTGCAAATTGCAACTGCAGTTGTCCAATATGATGAATTCATGACTCAAATTAGGTTTCCATTGGACTATAGGTTTTCAAAGACATGCTTTGTTTCTTGGCTTACCCCACTATAATTTGTCTTCATATGAATCGTTCATTGTTTAAGTTCCACTTCAGATCATCTATAAAAAAGAAAAAACGCTATCACCGATTAAAGAACCTCGAATACAAAAGTAACTATTTTTAACCACTTGAACTACAAATCTGTTTATAAAGAAAAACTAATGATTATAGATCATAAAATCTCCGCACACATGAGTAGAGTTTATCCTTTCTCTCTCTTGTTCTTTTTACTTGGGATAATATTGTATATTGCAATTTTATTTTGGGATGCGACCCTGTCCGTAGGAGCACAAAGAATAAAGTGCGACTAGACAAGCATAACATAGTTTGGCTTTCTAATATTTTACCTCCATTTTGGCTTTTCTAGTTTTGGAACCCTCTTATCTAACCCCTACTAACGTCATGATTATTCCTAAATCATTATGTTAATTTCCTTTTTGTATCTTGTTCATGTCTTTAGTTTGTTTAATCTATTTGCCAACTTCTTATCACCTTTTGTATATAGTAGATTGCCTTTACTATTTCAAGATAGATTTTGTTCATCACAAATGGTTTGACATAATATAGTGTTTAATATTTCGGGTGAAGTTAAAGAAATTTACAAAATGTTAAATAACTTAAGTCGTCAAATCCAAATTTAACATTTTAATTTAAAATATCTCTTGAAAATACTCTTACAAATACAATTTTATTTACAAAATAAATGTTTTACCACCATAATTTAGAAGCCCCATGATATACAAAATAATAATTAAGAAGAAAATAAAAGATTGCAATAATCTGCTTATTGTACTCTATATACTAAGATCCAACTAATACATGTTGTTATTTGGTCCACCAACAATGTCAAAAGGAACTGCAAAAACTAGTTGTTGGGATGTCTATTCTCATGTTGTTTTAAGTGCTTTCTCAAACTAATGTTTTTGGTGAGGGCGGTGCCGCCAAAGATTTCAATAACATTTCCTTTCCATGGGTTGAGACCAAGCATCTTCTTCTTCAGCTTGTTCATGATTTCTTTGTGAATAACCTTCCTCTCAATCCCATAAACCACACCAATATTACTTTGATTCCTAAGGGTCAGACTTACTAACCAATTTAATCTTGCAGCTCTAGCTAAGCTCAGGTGGAAACGCCTCACAGACCATTCTAATTGGTGGGTTAAGATTGTTACTCAGAAGTATCTCAGACATGAGAATTTCTTTACTCTCAAGAAAAAATCAAATCATTATGTTGCTTGAAAATCTATTTTGGATGCAAGACATGTCTTATGCAAAGGTCTTAGGTGGGTGGTAGGAAATGGCAGTTCCATCTCTTTCTGGACCTCCCATTGGGTTTTGTCTTTCCTTCTTCTTGACCCAATTCCTTAGCAACAAAGAGTTCCCTTGAATATTGACCAGAAAGTCTCGGATTTTATTACCAATAACAAATTGAAACATAAATAAACTCTCCCAAGTTTTGGATGATGATCTGGTTGATAAAATTTTAACAGTTCCTCTTCCCATCTCTAATTTGTAGGATCAAATGGTTTGGGCCTAACCCTAGTGACTCCTTCACCATTAAACGTGCCTAAATATTCAAGTCCAAGAGCACCTCTCGCACCCTCAAGCTTGTCTTCTCAAGAAAATATGGAAACTTGAAATTCCTCATAAAGTGAAGATTTTTGCCTAGATACTTATTAGAAAAAGACTTCAAATGAGAGCTAGACTTCACAGATTTATGCCTCAACTGTGTCCTGACTGCCCTTTTTTCCAAGACTAGCTTGAGACCATTCAACACCTATTTGTGGATTATAGCTTTACTAGGAATGTTTGGGGATGTTCCTCTGCTTTCCCTTCTCTTCCTTTGCAAGTTGGTGATTTCATTAATTGGTTATCCTTTTGGGATTGCACTACTCAACTCCAAGATCTGGATCACTTGTCTAAAGCTATTCTCATTTGCTCACATATCTGGAAGGCCAGGAATTGTTTTCACGCCGCAGCTACTGTTGGTATGGATTATTGATAGCATAACCATTTGGTCAAAAAGAAAAATGATATCCATATGGTGATAAAATGGCATCTTCTACAGGTTGGATCAAAATTAACTTTGATGGGTCTGTCATTAATTCTCAAGCTACCACTGGTTTGTCATTCGAAAAAGTGATGGTCATGTGTTACTGGCTGGTGCAAATAACATTGGTGAAAATTTCATAAATGTGGCTGAAAGTGTTGCTCTTCGGGATAGTTTCGATGCTGCTATTGATAGAGGTTGAGGTCAGATTGTGGTAGAAGGTGACTCTAAACTTGTTATTGACAATGTCCTAAAAAAATTTACTTCCCCTTGGAGCATGTAACAAATTATTCAAGATATCTGGTACCTTAGCTCTGCTACAGCTTTTGTTCACTTCCAGCATGTGTTTAGGGAGGTAAACTTCATTGCGGATGCGGTTGCCAAGCTAGTTCATGGGCTCTCATCACAAGTTATTTAGGAGATTGGGCTTTCTTTGTCAATCTATTCTCCTTTTTATTTTGATCTCTTTGGGCTTTCTTGTCCTAGGGGTTTCATCTTGTAATTTCAGTTTCGTCATAAATAAAATAAAATAAAAATAAAATATGGACAAAATAGGCTCTTATAATATATAGTATAATGTTCTTGCATAATATTATTACAAGATTTGATGCATTTTGTTTGGCTTTGATTTTCTTTTATATATTCACAATTTACAAGGTCAAACAAAAACTTATTACATAGAAATAAGTTTATTTTTATGAGTTATGCTATTTTCACCCACTATCCTATTTTTTCACCTATCTTTTCTTCCAAATTTTAAAGACAAATTTACCCCTTTGTAAGATGACTTCTACAGTCTTAGGGAAAAAATCTCAACTCAGGCAATGAGGGATGGTTGAGTTGGTAAGGATTATTTTGTTCGCTATCAAGGCCTAGGTTCGAGTCCCGCTGCTAACAATCCTTCTTGGTGGGTAATTAGTAAAAACAAAAAAAATGGCAAAATGCAATTGGCTCTCTATTTTGCTGAACTCCCTATTTGAGTTTGGTGGCTCTCTACATTTGGAGACGATGAGAGAGAAATTAAAGGTTATCCATTTCTTCCTATTTTCTCTCTCTAGGCACACAACCCTTTCTCACCTCTTATTTAATTTTTTTAATGAACTTTTAATTTAGAGATTAGGAGAGATAAATAATAAAATATTAGATATTAGCCAAAGTAGAGAACATTGTTGGAGAAAACTACTTTTAAGTAGTTTGCTATAATGATTTTCTAGCTATTTTAGCTAAAATTTGGCTAAAATTTGGAGACTATGTTGGAGATGCTCTAAGACCCCCTCTGTAAGTCCTCAAAGAGGTATTGATATGCCCTAGCCCTAGGATGGGGTAATCTCCCCTCCCCCTTACTTTTCTTTATAAAGAAAAACCTCAACTCACGTAACCCACCTATTCTAGAGTCTCATGTTTCCATTTTTCATGTGCCCTTCCTGTCACTTATCTATTTTTTGACACATGTCCATTAACTTAACATAGACATAACAATGTTAACTTTTAATAAAATTAAAAAAAAAACTAATTAATTTTTTTTATAAAACCAATAGCCACTAAAGCTCCCCCATCCACACACTCGATTTGTCAGTCATCCCACCCTGTTGATGAAGATGCCCTTCCCCTTGCACCGACAAATCCTCATTTTCTTTATATCTTTGTCTCTTTGCTCTCTCTGTCTCTATATGCCAATCTAGATCTAGATCCCAGGATCTCTAAGTGAATGATGAGCAACAACAACAACAATTGGTGGTCCAAACAACTCCCACAAGAGATCATGTAATTGTTTCTACAACAATGAGATTGACTACGAGATAGACTATGTTGTTGGGGTTTTGAGTTTGGGGAAGAAAATGGTAGAATGGGGAAAGAAAGAGAGAGAAAAATAGGTGTTTCTGACGAGCATAGAGGGGTTGTCGATGGGGTTGGAGTGGCTGACCAAGCTGGGTGGGTGGGGGAGTTTGGTTGAATTAATGTACTAACCTAATAAATATGAGCATTTTTTTGAATTAATAATTAAATAGTATTTTAGGAATAATGGTGAGTTGAAAGATAAGATTGTGTTTGTTTTCAAATTTATACGGTGGTTGGGGAAGATAAGGTGGATGAGGAAATATGACAAGGGATGAAAATAGTAGCAGTTTTATTATTATTATTTATATTTGTATATAATTGATATTCTACTTTAATCTAATTTAAACTACTAGGAGGGGAATTTGAAATCGGATGCAGAGTGAGAAGCATGTCCATTCTAGCCAACTTGACTAAGCCATGCTAAAGAAAATAAGTTTGTCAAATCATAACTTGAGAGGTAGAGTATATCCTAATCTTAAAATTGCAAGTGGGTAACAACATTATTAAATGTGCTTCACAATTAGCATATATTTAATTGAGGATGTTAGAGAACAACTAAACTGAAGCATGTGGACATTGTCAAGAGCTGCACGAGGTCCACTTTATGAGTGGAGATGGTAGGCTTTTTCTTTGAGGGATGATTGGAACTTATGATATCTTTAATCTATATATATAAAACAAAAGGCAGAGTAGTAAAATATTTAAGATACCAAAAAATGTCATTTGTTAATGTAAACATTAAGAATTGAAATTATTAATTAAATGAGAATAATATGGTAAATTTACACTTTTTTATATTAAAAAAATTAAAATTAAAAGAAAAATCAGTTAATGGATCATATTTTTATAGAACACAACTACCCGTTATCTTTTTTAAATTCTATAAATTAAATTTTTTTTTAAAACCTCTCGCAGGCACCGAAGTGCGTGCGAAGAGGCTAGTATAGATAAGAGTAGTACGACTAGATTAATAGTTAGTTGGCAATAAATTTTTGATCAATTGTATGAGGGAAGATTTGAACTTGAGATGTATTCTTAGATTTAGCTTCTATATAAATTACATCATTTGTATTACAACCAATTTTGAAAGGCTAAAAGATTTATAAAAAAAATTAACAACTAAATATCCTTATAATTTAAACAATATCAATATCATTAATAAGTCATAGAAAAAAATAACATTACAATTAACATACAATTATTGTTGACGAGATTTCATATTATGAGAAAGTCTAGTTGCTAAAAGCCCTGGAGTTTAAAGCCTTGTATCCTTTTTTATGCAGGCCGTAGATGGAATGTTGTTAAAGCCCGCGAATGGGAGTCCACATTTCCTCTTTTTGTTTTTTTTTAAGCCCTGGTCCAAACAAAACAGCGTACTTTTTGGAAAATAAAAATAAAAATAAAAGCTCCCTAATTTTCTACACCGGATGGGTACCAAAAACCCAATGGGTACTAAAAGCCCAATACATTCTATTTGACCAAATTACCCTTAAATAGAAGAACAATCAAAATTAAAATTCCATCTAAATCCTCTCCTCCCAGTCCTATGCCCGTTCTGGACTTCAGTGTGATTAGCGGGAAAAAAAAAAATCCCTTTGCCTAAATCCATTAGGCGCTTTCCCAGCTTAAGAAACAAAACGTTTCAAGGTAAGTTTTGTTCATTGGCTTCTTCTTCTTCTTCCTTTCTTTGTTCTTTGATTTCTTCTATTTGCTTTACCAAGATTTCCTTCTGTTTGTATTTCCTGATTTTGTTGTCGATAGATTCTATTCTATCATTATGCTGTAATTTAAGGTATCCAAATGCTTCCATTTTATGTGCCATAGTGAGTGTTGCCCTTTAAATTTCCTCAGACGCTCGATTGGTTTCAGTGTTTAATTAACTTGTTTTCTCTGATTTTGGTTCAATTTGTGGTGGATTTGGGGTTCAATTTTGACTGGGTTAGGGTTTCTCTAAAGAGAGTAGTTAGCTGATTAGATTAGTTTGTAATTAGTTACTCTTGTAAGTAATTAGTTAGAGCTGTTGTAACAGCTGTAGATTAGTTAGGTGTTAAATACTCTTCTGTACTCTTTTCTCAATTAATGAATAAGAATCACAATTTCCTTTATTCTCTCTCAGATAAAGGGTTAGGGTATCCATGTGTGTTCAGATTTATTCCGTTGGGTACTTGTTCATTTTGGTACTTCTGAAATATTTTTTCTGGATTTTTCTCGGAAAGAGGACTTTGTTCTTGGTCTATGAATTGTGTATATGTTTATTACTCTACTGTCTAATATACTGCATTAGCATGTTACTGATACTGAGCTTTTGTACCTTGTCGATTTCTTTGAGTTCATTCGTTCTGTATTTCTTCGAAGTATTATTTACTATTTTCTTTTTGCCAAAAAAGTATTATTTTCTATTGGATTAAAGCCTCTGGAATGCATGATTGTCAATTGTGCAGCAACAGCGCCAGGTGAGTTCAATTTATGGCAGATATGGAAAATCAGGGCTGTTGGGTTTTTCTCCATTTGAATGAAAAACTTTGCTTTCATGTGTTTGAAATGGGTCTCCCTGTTTGATTAACTTTTGGGTTTAATAGAATTTGTTTCTGAGGTTTGTCAAACCAATGGAAAAAGCCATGTATTATTGCAAAAGACAAGAAATTTAGCGTCACTAGTGTTATCTGATTTTAACCAAGGTCAATTTAGCTTTGTGAGCCCACAGTGCAAAACACTATTCATCTTTGTTTTCCGACGGGTCTTCCGATGCTCTTCAGTTTGTTGGGTAGCAAAATCCTGCTAAAGTTGTGTGCTTGATTATGCTTTAGTTGAGATCTGATTTGTTGGTTTAGCAGCAAGTTGAAATTGTTGTGCTTTCTATTTTCGAAACAAGAAAAGCAGAATATATAGCAGATGAGTTATTATGTAAACAAATTCTTTTTAAAGCAACTCTGTGAAGCATTGTGTGGCTTCTTGAGTAACCACACCAATTTGTTACAACCAGACATGATTTGCTCTTCAGAGATGGAATAATCAAAACTCTCTAGTTTGTGCTTGTTAGTGTTGCCTTTCACTCTCTTAGTCTGTTATCATAGACATGATAAGACCTCATTTTCATTTTCTTTTAAGTTTTGATCTTGGTTTTCATGTCTGTTTCTCCAAAGTCACCTTTATTACTGTTCCATCTTATCTTGGAGGAGATTTTCGCCTTAGCTAAAAGTGATTTGGGAGAGAGGTGATGGGGTGTGGAGGAGCTTTCCGGGTTAAGCTAGATCATGCCGCACTGACATCTAAGCTGGTCTTGCTCTGGGTCAGCTTAGATGCTATTGCTTGAAGTTTCCCATATCTGTCTAACAATGTGCAAATCTGAATGCAATGTCTGAATTTTGAAGCTTTGCTCAACATATTCAATGACTTTTGTTAAACTGTTGAATGATTTATGCTCTCTAGTCTCTTGAATTATTTCTAGCTTGCAGCAAATTGTTTTGCTATATACTTCAACATGGTGCAGTTCATTGTGGCAGCTGTTTTGTTTTATTTGTATTATAAGTGGATGGGAAAGTCATATTTGTTTACTTTGTAGTGTTTCTGTTTATATTTGATGGCTGTGACACATGACATTTCCATCAATTAATTTGTTTGAAATGTTTTGTTAGGGATGTGATCGAGTTGCTAGCAAATGATAAGACAAAATTTCACTTGAAAAGAAAAAGGCTTTTATCATGAAGTTCATGAAAAAAGATTAGAAAACTAATTTCAAGCCAGGTTCAGTTCCAATTATGTATTATTAATTATACCTTTTAGGGTTCCGATACGATACGGCACCGATACTGCCCCAATACGTATCTGATACGCTACGTGGCATATCATAGACTTTTCTGGGCTGTTGACTTTACGATATGGCTCTGATACTCCATCGATATGGTCACGATATGCCCGCAATACGGTGGTGATACGTCAAGGGGTAAAAGTGAAAATATTTTGAAAATTTGGGGGTGATTTTGAAAATTATTGAATATTTGGGGTTAAAATGTAAACTTAAAAATTAGAATTTTAAAGACCCTGCCTCTATCGAGAGGCTAGTTCTTTTGGGTGATTTAGACGGCAACCAAAAAAGAAAAAGAAGAAGGAAGAAGGAAGAGAACCCATCAGCAATCGCCGTCCACCCATTGCCGTCGCCATCTCAGATTCATTTTGTTGGGTGGGTTTCTTACGCAGCTCAAGGTTTTCTTCTTATTCTTTTAATAAGCTGCTGTGTTGTCAATTAGATAATAGGCATATGGGTAATATTGGGGTGGGGATGGCTGTATATTCTTTAATAAGCTGTTGTGTGGTTAATTTGTGAAGCTGGAAGTGTCGAAATGGACTTATATTTTGTTAATGTTTTGAACTTATTATGGATGAAATATCAATTTTTCTATATATATATTATTTTAATTGCCTTATCGGTGCCGTACCCGTATCCTAGTTTTTGGAGATTTGCCGTATCGGCGTATCGTATCGTATCGTCGTACCCGTATCCGTATCGGTGCAACATAGCTTCAAAGTCCCACATCCAAAAACACACTTAGTTAAACACTTTGAGTGGAATCAAATCATAATGCCTGAGTGAGGTTAATGCTCTGAGTTGTTAAAGGTAAAAGCTGCAGTGTTGTTGTTGAAAATGGTCTGTATGTAGTTGTAACTTTTGTCTTTAGATTTAACGTGGTATTCTTTGTTCCTTTAGCTGGTAATTATGTCACTGGATGATGGTTATTATCCATTTGATAAGGTTTTTGAATTTTGTTTTATTCTTGCAAATCTCAGCTGCAGGCATCTATTATTCAGGACAGAGCTGCAATCTTCATTCCCCTCTTATCTGGATGCTCTGATTGAGAGTGGTAGAGAGTGATTCTGCAGCCATGTCTGCAACCAAGACTCGGACAAGTAGCTTCTCCCGCAACTTTGCATCTGCAAACTCATCTCAAATCCCCGGACTCAAGCATGGCCCTAATGGCACAGTGTTTATTTCATCTGGGATACCAGACCTTGATAGTAAGCTTCTATCACAAATAGTTTTGTGGGATTAGTTAAACTGATCTGGAGAGATTAAATTGGAAATGTTTTATCATTTTGTTTTTGTATGATTGCTTAATCTTTATTGTATAGAAGTTTTATTCAGTTTTCTTTTGTTTGTAGAGATTTTAGGTGGTGGGTTTTCTCTAGGAAGCCTAGTCATGGTGATGGAAGATGCGGAAGCACCTCATCATATGCTTTTGCTTAGGAATTTTATGTCTCAAGGACTCGTTCACAATCAACCCCTTCTCTATGCAAGCCCATCTAAGGACCCAAGACAATTTCTTGGTACTTTGCCTAGTCCAGCGGTACCCAAAGATGATAAGTCTAGTCATCGAGATCCTGACCAGGTTGTTCTCTTCTTCAATCCTTTTCTCTATGTATTTGTTCATAATCTGGTCTTTTGGGTGAACATTAAGAAATTAATTCTTTGTTTTCTAAAATTTCAGGAGAAAGGATTGAGGATAGCTTGGCAATATAAGAAGTATTTTGGTGAAAATCAGCACAGTTCTGATAGTCAAGGTGGCAAGTCTGTCCTTATTTTATTTATATGAAATATGTCTTGTTGGCTCATAGCTGGTTTAGATTTCAAGAGCAGTTTGTTATGTTGTCGCTGTCCAGGTGGAAAACATGAGTTCTGCAATGAATTTGACTTGCGGAAGCCCTTGGAGAGGCAATTTCTAAGTGGCAAGCATATAGATTGCATTAGCATTCAAGATTCTCCAAATCTTGTTACCCTTAATGACCGTTGTGCCACATTTTTATCTCGATTTCCAAGGTATAGTACTATTGATATATGATTTCATGCCTTTACTTCAATCATGTCTGGCTAGTGAATATATACGTATATCGATTGGTTTTTCACAATGTCAAAGTAGCATGTTTTTTTTGCTTGGAGTGTTTGAGAGGGGAGAGGATAAATGATATGTGGTTGCGTCCAATACAAATTTCAAAAAATTGAAATGGCTTTGGTAGTCATTTGACTCTTTTTTGCAGCTAATGCAAGGAAATGAAATTATCACATTCCTTTTTATTTATCTAACAACTATGTTTATAGTTATAACCTCTCTGATCTTAAAAACTCATATGAGATTGCCGCCATTTTTTTTGCTAGTCTCATTTAGTTTTAATGACTTCTTGTTGATTTCTTATAAAATTTAAATTTGAGTTATTAAGAGTTCTCATTAAAAACCCACTAGTTGGCTTGTAATGAAACTATTGATAAGGCATTTTAGATGGTCATGGTCATATGTATATTTTTTTAATTTTTATATCTGATCATAACATTTTCTCATTCTTTTGGCTGAACATACAGAAGTGATAGAAGCATTTCTTCTGTTGGTCGTATTGCCATTCAATCATTCTGTGCTCCACAGTGTGAATTTTCCAACATGGTTAGTGGTGGTTGTTATTTGCTCCTAAACTCTTAATTACATTTAGCCTCGGGTTTACGGATGCCTCTTGTTTCCTCTGCTTAGCAGTTTTGTTGTTAGTGTTTCTGTACTGCCTTCCCCTTTTCCAAAACCTTTTGTCGGAACAAAATATGAGATATAGGATAACAACACATTTCCTGTTGTTTCAAACTCTCTGCAATTTGATTCTGAAGTTGAGCATAGTACTATCGCATTGCAGGAATGGGACATGCTTTCCTTTGTTAGATCTCTAAAAGGCATGGTTAGATCTTCAAATGCAGTTGCTGTTGTGACATTTCCACCTAATCTTCTTTCGCCATCCTCCTGTAAAAGATGGCAGCACATGGCGGACACCTTGCTGTCGGTCAAAGCAATTCCAGGTCAATATCAGCTTTCACATTTGCTTTTGCTCTGCCAAATATTTTGTCAACCATAATCTATACGAATCTTTCTTTACTTATTGATATTTTTAATCTGGATCATCCATTCAGACGAGGACAAGGAATTGGAAAAACTCCTTACTGGTTACCAGGACATGGTTGGCCTTCTGAATGTGCAGAAAGTAGCACGTCTTAATACACAGGTACGACCATTGTTCTCAGTTGATTTCTTTCCCTGCTGATCTGCTTCTTCATTATGTAATTCGGCTTGATTGTTATTTATAATTTCTAACGTGTCCGCAGGTTCCTGTGATTCTTGAGGCAACAACCTTGTCAATAAAGTTGAAAAAGCGGAGGTTTATGGTTTTAGAATGTCTAAACCAAGCCCCTATTGATGGCTCAAGCGGGAGTTCATATGGCACTACCGGTAGTTGTTCTGTGTCCTCTAAAAGTGGGACTCTTGATTTTTAGCTCCCAACTTCATATTCATTTTAGAAATGTCATTGATAAGAAATTCAGTTTGTTACGGTAAAATATAAGAATCAGCCATCAACCATGATTGCTAAAAACTCCTAAGAGCCAGGAGTTTCATGCAGGGCTGCTTTTGTGTATACTCAGCAATTTAGGGCTTTTTTTTTCTTCCTTTTTTCTTTTTTATTTTCTGATATCAAGATTGAATAAGTTTTGGGCTTCAGTCTTAATTTTTTTGGGGGGGAGGGGGGAGCTTTTATGGAATTTAGATTGAGGAGCTCATTTTGAGGGGTTCAATCCAACAATGAAACTATTTACAATGTTTAAGTCCATTGATTTCGTCACATCTATTGATGGTGGGATTGAACCCTTCAAATAAGCTTCTCACTCTAAACTCTTCATTATAGCTCGGGTGCCATGAAAATTTGGGCCACCACCCACTGGGTGCTAGTATGTGAAATGGTTATATTTCCTTAAAATTGGAAGCTACTAACCAATTACTCTTTTTTGGTTTCCTGGAACACAACTTGCAGGGGTAAATGCTCTCTTAATCACTTGCAACTAATTACTCCTTGCTGGGGTAAATGCTTTCTTAACCACTTGCTACGAACCCCTTGCAACTAATTACTCCTCTAAACTTGCATTTACATTACATGGATTAAGTTTCCTCAAAAAAAGAAAAAAAAAAACATTACATGGATTAAGAAGAGTATGGATATAGAAATTTTTTAAAGTAGCTTAAGCTCAGTCCACTTGAACAAAATTTTACAAGTACAATTCTTTAGTCCATCTCAACTCCCTCGCAACAAAAGATTCTCAACAGAGTGTTGTACTAAGGGGTTATAATGAAAGGATCCTTAATAGTCATCCGATCACGTGTAGTGTTATTATTGGACGACAAGGTTGTACCCTCAACAAATGCCTCTTACAACCAGTACTGTGACAGGGCTAAGGCAACCATGTAGAAGAATTTCAGCCTCCCATCATCTCTAAGCCCCTCAATGCTACAAGCTATGAGAATCACACCTCAATGCTATTTACCAAAAAGAAAAGGAACAAATTTCAGTGACCTGATCATTATCCCGATCCATCGAATCCAAAAAGTTATAAAAGAACCAAAAAGTTGAGACATTATTAGGGTGATTTTGGTGTTTTTTCATCAAAGCGCCAAAAAGTCCACAACCTTTTTCAGTTTTGTCACGTTGATCGACAATAACGGATTTAACCCTTGTCCCCTTGTGTAGCTGAAAAAAATAAAATAAAATGAGTGAGTCATTTTCCTGTTACACTCGCATTGTGGGATTTGGTGGGATGGGATGTAATAAAAAATCACAAACATCAATGAATGCCATCGCATTTGAATCCTTTTTAATAATTATAGTGCTTTGAAATTCTAATCTCCCATAATTCTACTTTCTTTTTCCTGGGTCTCTTTATCAGACAGCCGGCATCAACTCGGTAAATCTAAAGCGATGAGACGCGTTTTCTTTTTTTACTTTTTCTCTTGTTTCTTTTACTTCTTCTACTTTCACTTTCATGATTTTTTACTCTGTATTTTCATACAAGCATGGCATCCTGTCCTCCTCAATGGCAAATCTTATCTAAATTCATATCCATAACATGCTTTATCCGTACTGTTTTCAAGAGAAGTTAGTTTTGGTCGGTTGACAAGTAATAAAAGATAACTCTACCCTAAACCTAAAAACCAGTGTCATCTATATATATAAAGCAAAAGACGGAGAATGATGAAACATTCAAAATACCAAAAAATGCCTTTGGTTAATTCAAACATTAAGAATTGAAATTATTAATTAAATGAAGATAATATGGTAAATTCACTTTTTTCATATTAAAAAAATTAAAATTAAAAACAAAATCATATAATAAGTCCTACTTTTATGGAACATAGCTACGCATGTTGTCTTTTCTTAATTCGGAAAAAAAAAGGAAAAAGAAAATCAATGGGCACATGCCCAAGGGGCTAGTTTAAGATAAATTTAAAAGTAATTAGCTCTTGATTTAATGTTATTTCTCTTTTTAATGTTGAAATAGGTTCTAAGTTCAAATCTCCCTTCCCCCGTTAAAATACAATATACTTATCTTCTAATGCGTGGAATTAATGCAAGGATTAGACAATATAATAATACTCAAAGGACTTGATCAATAAGAAATAATAAAAGGATTAGATCCAACTATTAAGAGCATTCACAAAGGCTCCCTAAACCGCATCCTTAGCTAAAATTTAGGGAGGAATTGAAAAAATCCATCTCCAACCATGCTCTCTATTCAGCTCCTAAAATAGGGAGACCTCTAGGAGCTTCTAAATTCAAGGAGAGAGAAAATACTCATAGTGACTCCCTATAATTAAATGCTTATATATTCAATATTATTTTAAGCATTTCTTTAATGCCAATTATTTTTTATTATCGCTTTTGTGTCTACACTTTATTCAAAAATTGAATTAAAATTTATTAAAAACATTTATGACTCTTTAAACTAGGGAGTATGGTTGGAGTTGAAATTTTATAGAGAGTTCCTAAAATAGTTTTCTAGTGTTTTTAGCTAAATTTTAACTAAAAAATAGAGAGCATGATTGTGGATGCTCTAATATAACTTTCTAATTTATCCTAACAAATTTCCTTTATTAATAACAATTTAACTGCTCTTAGAGCATCTATAACAAACTCCCTAAACCACCTCTTTAGATAAAATTTAGGGAGGAAGTGAGAAAACCCACCTTCAATCATGCTCCCTATTCAACTCCTAAAATAAGGAGACCTCTGTGAGCTCCTAAATCCAAGGAGGGAGAAAGGACTCCCAGTTGCTTTCTATAATTAAATGCTGCTTTACTTTAATGCTAACTATTTTTTTAAACAAATGAAGATGTTGCATTTATGCTAAACTAAAAAAAGAAATAAATCATTTATGATTCCCTAAACTAGAGAGCATGGGTTGAAATTTTATAAGGAGCTCCCAAAATAGTTTTATAGTGTTTTTAGCTAAATTTTAACTAAAAAAGAAAGAGCATGATTGTGGATGCTCTTACTACTTCATACTCATATTGGGCCATATTGGATTAAACTAGATTATATTGGATTGGACTATGTTGTATTATTTAGGGATATTTAACAAAACTTTAGTATCGTTTAGTTTGTTGGATTCCTGCCTCAGTTTTGCACAAGTTTAGTCATTTAAGAGAATTAAGTATAGTTTAGTTTACCAACTAACTCTTAGTCTAGTGGTATTTCTCTTTCCAAGAATGGAAACAGGTTCCAAGTTCACATCTCCATTACCCACTGATAGAAAAAAAGAAAAAAAAAAAAAGTGTAGTCTAATCATGCTTAGCTCAATATAACCATACCGAGCCCTTAAAATGTCTACTAACACCATATATATATACTCACCAAACATCTTGCCCTCTATTTTTCTTCTCCTATTTCATCTAAAATTTGTTACAACTTCAATTTGGGATGAAAAAGTGCATCATAACTTCATTTTCATAGTCCTTTATGTCGCAGACCCACCCTTATGGCCTTATCCTTCAAGGAAAAAAGATATCCAGAAATAGTGACAATAACCTAAATTTGGTAGCAAACACATAATTTAGTGGCGGCAATTAGGCCTGAGCACTAGGTAAATCCAATCCTACTTCTAGTGGCAGAGGTAGCATCTATTGCTTTGTAAGCTCTATATGAACTTGAATTGAGCTGTTAGCCTGTTAGTAGAGTTTGTCACGAATTTGGTGCACGTAATCATAAGAGAAATTCCAGTTTGTGACATCTTCCGAATACGAATAGAATGACAAAAAATACTATTAGATCAATAACTACTTTATAGATGCATTGATGGTTGGTTTATTTCCAATAAAAGTTAAACAAAACAACAAAGGAAGCAACTCTTGATCCACATTTTAAGCCTCAAACTTATGAGCAGGAATTGAAGTTACAAGAAAAGGGTATAGAAATCCCACATGAACTACAACATGGAAACACAAAAGAAAGAGAATAAAGTAGGAAGATTAATAAGCAAAGCAAGCAGCTTGGTAATTCATGGACCCATATGAAATGATCACGTGCACCGAAATCGTGTAAAGGACTGTTTGGATGAGCAATAATAAACTAACAATTTGTCAGTTTTGGATTATTTTTGGGCCACTGGATTGGTCTTAATCCAGTCCCATGTGATGTCCAAAGCTCAGCGACAAGTTCGGTGGGGGCAGCCCTCACATGTGCTCGGATAATAGTAACCCTCAACAAACAAAACTCCTTTTGTCCAATCCACAAACGGCATGCCAGAATTTTCTTTTTACCTTCTTTTTATTTTATTTATTTATAATTTCATAATTTTGCTTATTTGTTTGGTTTTCTATTTCCAAAATAAACAACGGCATGGATTTGAAAAAAAGAAAAAAAGAAAAAGGGTCCATACGAATTAAGTTTTTGTAGCGGATGGTGATTATTTGAAAATGACTTTAGAGGGCTGTCCTTTTCATGATCATGTAGAGGTAAATGTGATTTTGGGGGTGATTTTGGAGTAGTCTCATGGTCCTGCATCATCACAAGGAGTAAAGACTAAAGAAAAACAATTATGATAGGGAGGGGTCATCCTAACCACTACAACCAAAGGTGATTTAGATTTTTAATGACCACGATTAAAATAAAAAAACATTGTTAGTATCACAATCTTGACCTCAACTAGACGACTAAAACCCGTCTCTCTCTCTCTCTCTCTCTCTCTCTCTCTCTCTTAAAGAAAAAACTCAATAAAGGGGGTAGTTTGTTAGATAAAATTGAAATGAAAATGTGGATAATCAAATGACTAAATAATTTATGGTTTAACTTGGATAATTATTAAAAGATAACCTAAATATTGAATGGCTTCAGTCATTGATTTTCTTATTGAAAGGGCGATAATACACTAAACTCACACACACAACACGGATCCTTTGCACAAACACATATATCTTAGAGGTAATAAAAATGTGAAATTAAATTCATTAAGTGGTCTTACAAACAAAGGGCGTATATAAAACTGAAAATATGATCCCCCACACGTTTTCTTTTCCATAACAATAATTAACAAGTTTAGGGAGAATGTTGAGTCTGACTCAGTTGTTTTAGTTTTGAGGCATGATTTATAT